GCGTTAATGGGGGAGGGAGGGGTGAGAAACGATCAAGGTCACTGCTTGCACGGGCGCTGTCCTAGAAGCTTTTGCACGGTGCGGCTAGCACCGTGATCCGAGGGGCCTATTCGTGTTTCCATCTGCGGCCAGTGTGTGTATGTATGTGCCGTCCTGTGCCAGGGAGGGTCCCCACCGGCTCACTCAGTCACGATAGTAAACCACCGAGATCGCGTTCCTGTGCCTCCTCCGCGGAGTGGAGATGTCTGTCTGTCTGTCTGGCTGGCTGGCTGGATAGATAGAATATCCCCTTCTTGGACCTTTTTCTTCTTTTTACCAACTGAAATATAGAGTTATGTATGTATGTATGTGTGTGTGACTCCCCCCACCGCAAGGGCCGTCTCCATGTGTTGTACCTGTCGGCTTGTCGGACTGTTTGTCTGTTTGTCTATCAGCCTGTGCCCGTTGAGTTTGTTGGCGGGCTGAGCTTTAGGGACTCGTTGCCCCCCACCCACCCAGCTCCCCCCATCCCTTGAGCCACTACGTAGCGGTCGCCGGCTGGAGCTTCATAATAGATGTGCACACACGGGTTTGGGGTTCGAGGTTTATTAAGCTTGAACATAAAAAAAACCGCGCGCATGTGCTCAAGCATGGCTGCATTTGCAGGAGCATGTGCACACGACGTACGGACGCATGTCCACACACTGTTCGCTGTTCACCAGCTTTTTTTAAAGGAACAATTAGCGTGTTTGGATCTGTTTGCACTAATGGGCAAATGACCTGATCGCCGTAGAGGCGGCGTGGCTGCTCACTTGCCGTGTATGTGTGTGTTTCGGGTTTTCCTTGTTCCCCGGGAAACCCCAGATGTAGATCTGGTGAGTGAATTCTAGGGAGGATGGTATTAGACGACATGCTCTGCTGAGGAAGGGGCATAGTATTGGTCTCGTTATGTCTTTGGCTGCGTCTTCGGCTTCCAAACAGCCAACAAGGAAGTAGACCCCCAGGAAAGAGACAGATGGCTGTTGAACGAGAAGGTTTGACGGTGTTGCTGAAGTTGTTACCCTGCCCTTTGGTCAAGGGCCGGTCGAGTTGTACGAGACCGTACGAGATGTACGAGTACATACTTGTAAAACGTCGACATATGTAAATACTTTATATAAACCCTCGCCCTCCTCGCCCCCTAGTAAAACAACATCTCCCTCTTCAGATGTTTGTAACAACCATCTACAAGTTGCTCAACCACTTGCTCTGCCGTACATATGATGATGGATTCCATGCCGTACATAGGACAGAAAGCCTGCAACAAGTCCGTGCAATATGCTACACCGCACCATAAGAGCGCTCAAGGACAGCTCGCTCGACAAACCAACCGTCCAAAAGAACTTATAGCAGCAGATATAGCTGTGGCTGTGTTGCCACCTCGCCAACACACCAAGACTTCTCACTTCTTCGTCGCGCCAAGTCAGTAAGGAAGGAAAGAAAGAAGACTAATAATCCGCTACTACATCATATCGGTTCGAGGCGGTGGATTTCATGGTTTCATGGTGTGCCGCCAAACCGACCAAATAAGAGACTACTACTACGCCCCACAAGGGGGGCCTGCATGCGGTGCAAAAAAGATACAGAACACCAAATTTACCTATACTTTTCTTGTGTTGTGCGGCAGCTGCGGCGACAAACAATCATCTAAAAAGACATTCATCAGGAAAAACAAATGACCTCAACATCACCAAAACCTACCGTACATTTCCCCTTTCACGCCCCCCTCAACACCACCCATCGTGTTTTCTTCACGGACTCATTCAGAAGAGAGAGAGAGATAAAGCCTTGGAAAAGGAAACAAGGGCCGACAATTTATATATATACTCTACAGAAATGCCTGATTAAGCAACCATATGCCAAACATCGACGTCGAAACATCTCTCTCTAGCGTGTGTATCCATCGCGGGGGACGGAGGAAGGACGTAAAAGAAAGAAAAGGGAAGCGGAGCCAGACGTCCACCCTCTCCCAACACAGCAAATTCACCCTCTCACAATCATTATCAAAAGACAACTCACCAAAACCAGAGCAACGGCTCAGCGGCGGCCCAATTCCCTGTCCCATTCCCCATCCGCCACCTACCCCTCTCCCTCCCACCATCCTGGCGCTCCCCTCCCGCCCTCCACAGGCCTCTTAAAGCCCTCGCATGCGCATGTAGCCATTTCATCAGCCCAGCCGCTGCCCCTGGCATCCATCCATCCCTCCATCCATCCCTACATTCATCCCTGCCTCCCTCCCTCTCTCTCCCTCTCCCTCCAACCAGGCCATTAGGCGCAGGACTTGGAAATAAGGTGCAGCCTTGTACGTACGTACGGCGACTGTTTCACAATATTGAAGCATTCTACGCCCCTTAGACAGACAGCGAACATCCCTAAAACCCTATTCGTGTGTGGCTTGAACTTAGCTTTAAATATTCTACATCGAGCGATCGACAATGAACAGCAACCTGAGGCTAACAGACCTAACAGACGTGTGTGAGCGCCCTCGTGGGCGACACCCCGCTTGCATCACCGTGCCGACCTAACCTCACCTCACCCCACCTCAATTCCGCTCTCCCTGACTTTAGGTAATCGTTGCACTTCTCGGTTCATATGCTCATCCACCATCCTCTCGCCGCAGAGGCCGCAAGAGTCCTAGCCCTGTTCAGCCAGAGCCCCCGGTGTGTCTGCGCGCGCCCTTACCACTCACTTGTGGATGGGGCACCAAAAAACACGTCGGTTCTTTCACTCGACGACAAAGTATAGTAGTTGCTGCACTCGTAACAAAATACTTTTTTATACAAGTCAACTTCATGTGAACTACGGCTAGGAAAACGTTACAGCTCCGGACAACTTCGGCAGAGCAACGCGATGGCCAGATGGCAGCAGCACACTTATCCTGCCCCCCATCTGCTCCCCTACCAACCTCACCCCTTCTCCCTGCCACAACCCGTAATGGAACTGACGGCATTTCCTCCGGCCCTTACCCCCTCCCCAGATATGACAACCACATTGCCTTCCCCTACCCGCCATCGTTTCTCAACTAATTAACAACCAATTCTCACTCCGCCGAAACTTTAGCAATCTCACTTGCATCCCTCCCGCCGCAAGGAAAAAAAACTCAAGGTCCCCTGACTTGAACTTCCTGAGCCGCACCTCCCAAGAGCCGGAACAGCAGGAACAGCATAGCGTCATCCGAGCCCGTCCGCATCTTTTGTACCTCCTCAACATCACATGTGGGTACGAGACACATCACACCGCGACCACCCCTCCGCCACCGAACACCAGCAACAGCAGCAGAAACACCAGCAACCATCGCAACGCAGGACAGACTAGAGAGAGAACTAAAGACATCATCTATATTCTATCCATTATCGATTGTGCCTTCGTGCACTTTTTTTTATGAGACGTTTACGTTTTCGGAGGCTCAGCTCATCATTCGGCCAAATCTGGCTCCGACCGGCGGCCATCATTCGCCCGCTCGTCTGTATGCATGTCGCCAGCCTGCCCCCCCCTCGAAAAGCCTAAAGCCGCCTAAACCCCCTTTTCCCCATTCCGCCCGCCCGCCACAGCCGATCATGATGCAGATGGGCAAATGGAGCTCGGGCGGAGAAACAAGGGGAAAGAAGAAACGCAGTTGGCAGTTGAGAATGGCTCGGGGGAAGGCAGCGCACAGCCACGATGCCAACAGCTTCAGGAAGCGCCGATATTCTGCTAGAAGGACTGCCGGCGACATATGCGTATATATAGTATGTGTGTGTGCGTGTGATGATGGCCAATGCCGCGCTGCAATTAGGTGTCGCTGGAAACGCTGTTTTCAGAAACCACCAAGTGGAAGACCGCAACGACCACCTTTGGAGAGACAACCGCGAGAGAGAGGGATTCCGCAATCCGCAGGAAGCCGCAAGAGAAAAACTCAATATCGCTGCTCAAAGAACGGCCAATTCATTATTACGTTCCAGCTAACGTCCTAATTTACAAACAAGACGGATTCCAGTCGCTGACAGCGGAATGTGGCAAGGAAGAAGAACGCAAGCGATGGGCGGTGCGCGAGAACGCGAGCGCGAGGAGGCGGTGTGCGCTAGCGTCGACGAATATGTGCGGCTGCTAGCACAGCTGCACCGCGCGTCTGAAGACGCCGCCCGCTGCCTCCCCCTCGCCTCTTTTGCTGCTGCAACTACTCTTGCAGCCGCGCTGCACTTGCCGCCTTCCTGCTGTGCTGTGCTGTGGCGTCGCGTGCTGCCCTTTGGAAATCCGCGGCGAAGGGAGAGCCTCGCGATGGAACTCCCCGCCGGGCTTCGTGATCGCAGCAGTAAAGCCAGCAGCAGCAAAACGATTCAGCAAAAAAGCAAAAACTACTTCTATTGCACCAACGTAACTGCTTGCGAGGTTCATAACAATATGATCTAAAAGACAAAAGATATAAGCCGTGATAAAGAGTGTAAAAAGCCGGTCAGAGCTTTCATCCGCCGCTTCAAATCCAAGCTCGGCCGCCGCAGCTGAGGCTTTTTTGGTGCTGTTGCTGTTCAGCTCTCAGTCACCCTCTGCCCCCAACTCATTCGAGAGACAGAAGCGGCAGAAGGCGCTTGAACAGGGAGCGCGGAGAGTGCAGTGCGCATTGCAGCGAAAAAATGTATAGCCGCAGCGCACGCGGCACCGCGCACCCCAGGGCGCGCGCTTGCCATAAACGCCGAGATGGATAGCCTCCCATGTTTGCCCAGACTTCCCTGACGGTGCCGCCGCCGCCGCCGCCGCTGGTGTTGGTGGTGTGGTGCGGGATGCAGCACTAATCAACCAACGAGAAGGCAGGTGAGAACGAGAGGGCGACAGGCGGTAACAGCCCCCCACAGGAGTGAAAATTTTCAAACGGCTTGCAGGGCGATTGCCGGTGATGAAAAGTAGGCTTGGTTAAAAATGGGCCCCATCCACATGACGACGGGGGTTTGAAGCGCGTGTGACAGGTTTGGCACGCCCCCTGGGCTCCAGGCCGCGCCGCGGCCGAGATGGATGTGGAGGGGTGCGCGACGACGATGCTGCTGCTGCTGCTGACCAGCATGTTCTGGCTTTGCCAGGTTAGCCGAGCTTGGTTCAATGCTCACGAGGCGGCCAACGCTCACGCTGCAGGCGCCCGATGAGCAGCCAATCGTTGCAGCCTTGGCTGGGCTGACCGAGCCGCTGCCAAAATCAAAGATCCAGGAAACAACGGCAAGGAGGACTCCGGACTGCAGAGCACCGACTAGGCCTGACCTCCAAGCAACTGCCACGCCAGAAGCGCCTCCAGCAATAAGGCGGTTGATGCCGTCGTCTTGCTGCCGAATGCGCTCGCACAGGCATTGGACCGTTGTATAAATACCGCTCCTGGAACACAATTCATGAAGGAAGTGAAAGAGTGTTGAGGCAGGCGGAAAGGCGTTACAGGGCCGGTAGTTGAGGATAGAGTCGAGTACCGCCAGAAAAGATTTCTGCAAGGAACTGGACTTCCTGACGCAGGTAATTTACTCACATCACTGCAAAAGCCTTTGCGCTGGCCATTCCTTCAGCTCCCCAAACATGAAGCATCCGGAGGCTGCGATGCCGGAACATGCTTGGGACGAAGCCGAACATATACCCAAGCACGCCTGCAGCGAGGCCTCCAGATAGCCCTTTGAGAGTACACGGCTGGTCTGCGATCGCAGCCTCTCCTTCAGGTGCGTATCCAGGCACTTGCGCACCGCGGACAGACGAGTTAGGGGCATCATCGCTTGTGCGCGTTATGAACGCAACGTTGTTGCTCAAAGGCGCTGCCTTTACAACCCACTGGTCACTGCTCATTTTTCCTCCTAGTGCAGTGGTATGGAGGCCGCCGAGAGTAAGGTCTGCTCGCGATAGCAAACGACACGATAGTAGAATTCTCAGGAAAATTCGGATTTTGTATCAACAAATCACGGAAGCAGCGCGGAAAAGATGAGAGCAGTTCACGAAGGTCCGTACAGCTAATCCCAGTCTACTTTCTACCAACATCGCGAAGCGAAGGGCTTGTCAATCTGCTTGCAAATGCGTTCAAGGGCATGGGATGCAACGGGACTCCAGTATTCAGTATGCGCCTCCGCAGCGAGGACTCACTTCTGGCCTCGCCTGGATTCCACGTGCGCTGGGTTTCACTGGTCCCTAAGAATGCACTCTTAAGGGGCAAAGAATATTAATGTCATTCGAGACATGATTGTAGCTAATTGCCTACCCCAACAACCGGCTCCCAACCAACCTTCATCATTCCCGCTACCGCCTCCACTTTACATTCATCCCCCAACCTACTCAGCTACAGCAATTGGAACCATGTCCCCTTCCATTATGTGTGGTCAGCCGCGCGATCGCTGTACGGGACGGCTTCTAATTAGAGCGACCGTTGCTTACGAACGGTATCCTGCAAATATGAATTATGTGACCATGACTCACAACCGTAGCATTTTCCCGCTATGTCACCGGAATTGTGTTTTCCAAGATCTTAATTCTTGCTGGGTCCAGGGCCGTATCGGGCATGCACGCGAATTATTTGTACGGGTGGCGCATATGGCACCTGGAGCAAGCCCATAATGTACTCGTCAAAAACAGATGTCCATTAGCTCATACTACTGCTGATGAAAGGAGATTTATCGTCGTTACTGTTGTGAAATTGGTTCGAACTCCGCACCTGCTGTCGAAGAAATCCTTAGGCTTCGCTTTTTAGGTGACACAAAGAGAAAATCGTAAAACGTAAATGAATAAGTGGCAAGATGCACTAGTCTTTCTTACGATCATGTAATATCATGTAAGAAAGGAGCTCGGTGCAAACTGACCGCAAGCGGCGGAGCTGTATAACAGTACAGACAACGACAACCATGGCGATGGCAGGCATGTCGCAACAAGTAAGATACCGTACAGGATCCGGTCCAAGTTTGGAGTGCTGCACCATACAGCTATGCTGTGATTCGTTGCTTCGCAGGGGTCCTCCTTGTTCGCCGCCGTCCAAAATTGGTACAACGGCCTGCCTTTATGCACCAAGTGAGCCGATTTTTAACAAAGCTCCTGCGGTGGTAGGAGAGGCTGTCAAACCGCAGAAAGCGCCAGCATTTGTGATTTAGGCCCCTCCACGCCTCAACCCCCGCGCCGCTATGTCCCCATGTCCTCTACAAACGGAAGTCCGGGGGAGGGGGCACCTCCCCCCCATCAGACCAACCCACAACCACTTAGGTATATCCGACATCCACATAGAACATACATACATACATACATACATACATACATACATACATACATACATACATACATACATACATACATACATACATACATACATACATACATACATACATACAAGCACACCTGCGTTGGATAGCCAGCACAATCACATTCCAAGGCCACATGCTGAGGACCCTCATCAAGCCGAATCACCGCACACACAAACACACATGATGTAGGGCCACGTTTTCGCTCATCATGGGGATCTTCATCGTACAGCTACTCACGGGCTGGTACGGCAGTCAGTCTACGGCTGTATCGCTTGTACCTCATGCCGTACTGTACGATTACCAGGGTAAGTGCCGTGTGCCCTTCTCGCAGAGAGAGCTTTGCGAGAGAGCAGAAAAAAAGATGAGGGCCTCCTCCTCCTCCTCCTCCCTTCCTCCTTTCCATTTGGGTTTTGAGCCATGTACGGGTTTCTTACAGCACTCCCCGGCCTCCCTTCCCCCCTTCCTTTCCCCCCTTCTCCCTTCTCCTTTTCTGCTATATATAAAATAAGTCTCCCGCCTTTCCTTTGTTCTCTCCCTCCTCCCCATCCCATCCTTTCCCTGGCAGCAGCTTCACTCCTTCGTGATTCGTCTTTCCTATCCCATCCCCCTTCTTGCTAAAACCCCTTCCCTTCTCCCTCGCAGTCTACCGGTTCTTCACCGCCGTACTCGTCCACGGGGGACTTCTCCACGTGACATTCAACATGTTGGCCTTCGTGCCCATCGGCGCGAGCCTGGAGCGGGCAGCGGGGACGTGGCAGCTGCTTCACTTCATGTTGCTCAGCTGCTTCTTGGAGGGCGTCATCTACGCGGTGGTTTCGGGGCTGCTGGCGGCGAGGTGGGCAGCGCCAGGGGGGGTGCAGGCTTAGGAAGGGAAAAATGTGTGTGTGTGTTGGTGGGTGTGTTGGTGTTGGTGGGTTGGTGTTGGTGGGTTGTTGAGCTGGGGAGTGGGTGATGAGTGGGTTTCTGATCCAGGCTTGGTAAGACTCGTCACCCCTCCAACACCGCCAACCCTAGCGAGCTCACGCCAATGAGGAGCGAGGCGTCCAGTTGTGCCGGTGGGGCAGTTTATGTCGCGGTTACTCGTTTCGCTTTCTCCACGTCTCCCCCCTTCCCCCTCCCTCTCTATCCCTCGTCACCCCTTCCCTTCCCCTTCCCCTTCCCCTTCCCCTTCCCCTTCCCCTTCCCCTTCCCCTTCCCCTTCCCCTTCCCCTTCCCCTTCCCCTTCCCCTTCCCCTTCCCCTTCCCCTTCCCCTTCCCCGACGAACTAAAACAACCCTACAAACGCACACACGCCCCCCCCACCTACGCACACACACACACACGCAGCGGTCTGGTCCACGGGGCGCTCTTCCACGGGGCAGTGGGCTTCTCCGGCGTCATCTTCGGACTGCTGGTGTGGGACTCCGCCCTGCTTAGCAGCTCCTCCTCCTCCTCGCACCGAAGCATATTCGGTTTGTTCCATGTGCCGGCTCCCTGGTACCCCTGGGTGCTGCTGCTGCTGTGCCAGCTGATGTTGCCGGAGGCCTCATTGCTCGGGCATCTGGCGGGGCTGCTGGTGAGCAGTTGACGGGGGGGAGGTGGAGGAGGAGGAGGTGGAGGTGGAAGGGAAAAACGGGGGGGAGGAGGAGGAGGGTGGAAGTCCTGTGTGCGAAGGGGGTTAATGTGCAGTACTAACTGCTAACTGCTAACCACTGGTGTGGCCCTGCACAGGGGGAGGTGAATGCCGTCTCCCGGGAACTTACAAATCCTAAGTAACGTGCAAATATTCTTAGGGCAGCAGCAGCAGCTGTCTTTATCTCTGAAATCTGCTTCAATCGCCAGTGTGCTTACTCTTACCCCCCCCTCGGGACCCCCCTCCCGCCCACATCTCCCCGGCCGCCGCTCAAGGTGGGTCAGTTGTGGGTGTGGGGCTACCTGCGGCCCCTGGCGCTGCCGCGATCGGCCGTGTTGTGGCTGGAGCAGAGCTCACCGCTGGCGTCGCGCTGCGTACGGCTGCCCAGCTTCGTCACCATGCCCAGCTCAGGGCTGCCGTACAGCACGTGCTGCGAAGCCGCCGCAGGCCGGGGGGCCGGGGGCAGTAACGGCAGCGAGGGCGTTCGCCTTGGCGCGCTGGGCCGTAATCTTCACTCGTTGGGGAAGCTGTTTCGCAGTGGGTTTAGTGGCGGTGGCGACGTGGGAGGGAGTGGTGGTGGTGGTGGTGGTGGCGGTGGTGGTGGTGATGATGTCGAGGCGGCCGGGGCAGGTACGGGCGGCAGGGCAGGGGGAGGCAAGAAGGGGGTGTTTGTGGGGACGGGCAGGATGCTAGGGGGGGCTGGCAGTGCCGGCGGCGGCGGCGGC